CTGGAGCTGAGATCCCATCAGGGGCTGGGGAACAACGTCCTGCACCAGCATCTCCTGTCCCTGGAGCTGAGATCCCATCAGGAGCTGGGGAACAACGTCCTGCACCAGCATCTCCTGTGCCCAGAGCTGATGTCCCCTCAGGGGCTGTTGTGCCACAGGCCACACCAAGATCATCCGTGCTGGCATCACCTGTGCCCAGAGCCGATGTCCCCTCAGGGGCTGAGGTGCCACATGCCACACCAAGATCATCTGTGCTGGCATCACCTGGAGCACATGTCCCAGCAGAGCCCAGCCTGCCCCACGCTGCACCAGCATCCCCCAAAGCCGATGTGTCAGCAGAGGTGCCCCACGTCACACCAGCATCGTCCCCTGCCCCCGGAGCCCAGAGCGCTGGGACAGCGTGTCACCAGGATATGGGCGAGGATGTGACCCCTCCGGGCCCCCCGCAGCCCACGGGCACCACAGAGAGCGGTGAGGGGGTGCAGACTGAGTTCTAGCCCAGCCCTCCCCTGCTGTGGACTGGCCCCGGGGACGCTGGGGGTTGGGGAGGGGGAATAGGACCCCTGCCGGGGATGGAGAGCAGCGCCGCGGGAGAGGGAGGGGATGGGAACACCGAGACCTTACTGCCTTGCCGGGGGTCCCCGCTGCCGTGGGGGGGCTGGCCACAGCCACTGGGTCGGACTAGGGATGGCCCCAGCCCGGCACAGGGCACCCCCTGCACTCTGCTCTGTCCTTCTTCTGCCTTATTTCCTTTTCTACTGAAGAGATGCTTTACTGAAGAGATGCTTTATGTGCTCCCCAGCACAAGTGCCTGGGGCTGCTGGGGGGGGGCTGGCACTCGCCCCACTTGGGGTGGGGGTGTGGGATGCTTCTGGCTGCCCCGGGGTCATCCCCTGCCCCAATCCGAGGGGTTTCCCGGGAGCTTGCTCACCACCACCCCACCCGGCCGGCTCCGGGAGTGCCACTGGGAGTGGGGGCTGCAGGGGCTCATGGAAAACGTGAGGACAAGCAGGGGCACGGCAGAGATGCAGCCATGCTGGGGGGAGTGGAGTGCTGCTGAGGGGGTGAGAGCTGGGGCAAGCACGGGCTCGTGGTACCCAGGCTGGGCTCACAGCATCCAGGCCAGGCCTATGGCACCCAGGCTGGGCTTGTGCTAGCCGGGCTGGGCTTGTGGTACCCGGGCTGGGTTCATGTTGTCCAGGCTGGGCTCACAGCACCCAAGCTGGACTCACACACCCAGAGTGGGCTTGTGCTACCCAGCCTGGGCTCATACACACAGGCTGGGCTCACAGCACCCAGGCTGGGCTCTTGGCACCCAGGCTGGGCTCACAGGTCACCCTCACCCCGGGGTCTTCTATAGCAGCTATTTAAGTTCAGAGTGACATCTCTGGAGGAAGGTGGCACTCACACCATGTCCCCAGCCGTGCCTGGCAGGACTGGGCTGTCTCCAGGCTCAGCTCGCTGTGCAGTGGAGGGATCCCAGCCCTTGCCCTCTGGAGCTCCCCCTTTCCGTGCTCGGATCGTTTCTCCAGCCCTCAGGCTCGGTGGGTTTTGGCACCTGCAGTGACAGTGGTTTGCTGATCCCCCCCCCCAGCAGCCCTGCCCACCGTGGGGAGGGGGATGGGACGGCTGCAGCCCCCCCCCACAGGGATGCCAAAAGCCCTGGGGCTGGGGGGGGACCTGCAGGACTCGGGGAGGGGGGTGAGACACGTGCACGTGTGTGCACCGAGCAGGGCCCAGCACCCGACACTCACCTGTGCTTCAGGTGCCAGTTCCTGCCCCACGGGGGGGGTGCCCAGCCTAACCCACTCGGGGAGGCCCCCCCCCAAAAAGTGCCTTGCTTTGGGAAACTTAAAATCTGTCTCTTCCAGGATATTTTATTAAGAAAGATATACAAATGTTTAAAGATATGCTTATAATAATTAATAAAACGGAAAAGCTTTATTTAAAGCCAGAGGAGGCTGTCCTTATTCCTGAACCTCCCTCCTGGGGAGTAGGGCTGGGAACCCCATTCCTACTGTGACCAGGGGGTGTCACGTCCTGAGAGCACCCAGCAGTGACACAAACCAGGAGCAGAGTGACTGAGATGGTTTTATTAAAAGGGGTGTCCTGAGGAAGCAGCAAGAGGCGCCTGGAGCAGCACTGTCCCCCTGGCTCGGGGCCTGCTCCGACCCCATCCCTGAAGCACTGGCAGGAGGGGGGTGGGTGAGGGGCAGCAGGACCCCCCAGCATCCCCAGAAGGCACTGTGTGAAGAGGGGCTTGGTGCAGGGCAGCTCTGGGGCAGGAGGGCAGGGGGCCCTGTCCCCAGCGTGTCCCCGTCCCCAGCAAGTCACCGGACCATTCCCGTTCCAGCCAGGATGAACCTCCTCGAAAAACGGGGAGGGGAAGGAAATGCCCAGCACCCCCTCGCTGTCAGCACCCGGCCAGAGGTCCCTGAGAGCCAGGGGACAGCCACCAGCGTGGCAGTGCTGGCCGTGGGGCTCCCCATCCCCAGCACTGCCCCCCCCCAACGGGGCCAGCCCCGAGAGCCCCACAGCAAGTCCCTGGAGCTCTGCGTCCCACCCAGCACAGGGGACAGGGACAGAGCCAGCAGAATTGACAGCAGCTATTCCAGACAGAGCAGCAGGAGGTGGGGGCACGTGTCCCACCGCCCCAGGGGGGTCTAACCCCGGCCGAGCAGGGGGTACACCACAAAATAGCCCAGCGTGGAGCCCGCGATGGCCCCCAGGAAGATCCAGGCGTTGTAGGACATCACAGCCAGCATCACCATGTAGCCCAGCACCACCTGCACCACGTGGAACAGCGTCTGCCCAACGTGGTACCGGAACCACCTGTGGGACAAGATGGGAAACCCCATCACTGAGGGGCCGGGACAGCCCACATCCCCCCCCCGGTCAGGATCCCAGAGCAGCCAGGGAGGGATTTGGGGAGCAGGGAGAGGGATGGGGGCTGCAAACAGCACCACAGGGGGAAATCCTGCCCCAAAGGGGATTTTATTAAGAAAAATAGGATGTTATGGGGGAAGACATTATTACAAGGCTGGCAGTAAAAGCAGCCTCAGGGATTAAACATGAGAGGAAAAACCCAGGGCTTGGCTCCAAAAGAAGGAATCACTGGGAATCTGCTGCTTGTGCCCATCCCTGAACCATGAAGACCCTCCTGCACCCACAATAGCTCTTGGGGAAAAAATGAGCCTTTAGACACCACCCTTGACATCTCCCAGAGTGCCAGGAGGGACTGGGATGCCCCTGAAGCCACCTCCCCAGGCTGTACAAACAGCCCTTTCCTGGGGAAAAGCAGTTCCCTGGAACTCCTCGGCTGCCTCCTTACAGCCCTTCTCCCCTCTTGCACTGGCCAAGGGGACACAGACCCCTCCCCAAGCCCCCCACTGCCCACCAGAGGGTGCAAAGGGGGGTCTCTGAGGTACCTGCTCTGCGCAGGGTCGGTGTCCCCCTCCTGTGGCTCTGTCAGGGCCTCCTGGCTGAGGCTGCGGGGCAGTGCCAGCAGCGCCCGCCGCAGCAGCACGGCCTTGCCCATCTTCAGGGCCTCGTAGAGCACGGACAGCAGCAGGATCACCAGCACAGACAGCACCATCCCTGCAGCACAGGGCTCGTGTCAGCCAGGCTGGGCTCGTGTCAGCCAGGCTGGGCTCACACACCCAGGCTGGGCTCACAGTATCCAGGGTGGCCTCACACATCCAGGCTCAGCTCACGGCACCCAGGCTGGGCTCACAGCATCCAGGCTGGGCTTGTGGAACTCAGGCTGGGCTCGTGGTACTCAAGCTGGGCTCGTGGTACTCAAGCTGGGCTCACACACCCAGGCTGGGCTCACAGCATCCAGGCTGGGCTCACACACCCAGGCTGGGCTCACACATCCAGGCTGGGCTCACACACTCAGGCTGGGCTCACACATCCAGGCTGGGCTCACACATCCAGGCTGGGCTCACGGTACCCAGGCTGGGCTCACACACCCACACTGGGCTCACAGTATCCAGGGTGGGCTCACACATCCAGGCTGAGCTCACACCCAGGCTGGGCTCACACATCCAGGCTGGGCTCACACACTCAAGCTGGGCTCACACACTCAGGCTGGGCTCACACACCCAGGCTGGGCTCACACACTCAAGCTGGGCTCACACATCCAGGGTGGGCTCACAGCATCCAGGCTGGGCTTGTGGAATTCAGGCTGGGCTCATGGTACTCAAGCTGGGCTCACAGCATCCAGGCTGGGCTCACACACTCAGGTTGGGCTTGTGGAACTCAGGCTGGGCTCATGGTACTCAAGCTGGGCTCACAGTATCCAGGGTGGGCTCACACACTCAGGCTGGGCTCAGAGCATCCAGGGTGGGCTCACAGCATTCAGGTTGGGCTCACACACAGGCTGGGCTCACACTCAGGCTGGGCTCACACACCCAGGCTGGGCTCACACACCCAGGCTGGGCTCATGGTACCCAGGCCGGGCTTGTGGAACTCAGGCTGGGTTTGTGGCACTGCAGGAGAGACATCCCAACACTGCCCATCACCAGGGAGGGGCTGTTGGGGCCAGGGGGGTGTCCCAACACGCTTGGGATCCATGGGATCCTTATCCACGGCATAAGGGGGAGGGCTCCTGAGTTGGGCAGTAGAGGATTTATTTAGCCCAATTTCCCCCCTGAAATTCCTAGGGAGGATTTTTTGGAGGGGGTTGCTCTGAAAAAAATACGCAACTTTGCCTTGACTCCACAAAAACGTGGGAGTTACAACACAATGCTGGGAGAATAATTTAATGAGGGAAAAAAAATCAGTGTAAAAGGAACTGGGAAGCTGAGACATCACTGAGTGACCTGGGAGGGTTGGCAGGCTGAGAGTGGGTGCTTCCCACACCTCCCTGTTTCCTGCTCTTGGCATGGGAAGGTGCCCTCCAAGCCCTGGATGGATGGATGGATGGATGGATGGAGGGATGGAGGGATGGATGGATGGAGGGATGGAGGGATGGATGGATGGATGGGTGTGCCAGGGCCTACCTGTGGGGCTGTGGACATTCCAGAAGTCAAAGAGCAGCACTGCTGTGTCCGAGAAATAGAAGGTCATCTGGAAAAGAGACCAAGGAAAGGGCAGCACGAGGAACCCCTCGGGATCCATTCACTCCCCACCCCAGAGGGCTGAGCTGGTGCTCATCTGGGGTTTTACCACATGGTGCAATCCTTTTTCCCCAATTCCTGAAACAGGAAGAAGAACTTGCACTGACAATCCCAGTCACGCTGACTGGATTAAACTCTTCCCTTGACCTCCAGCAGGACAGGTCTCACCTCCAGCAGCAGCTCCTGTGCGTGTCTGGGCTGTGAGAAAAAAACAGGTTAGCCCTGTGGCAAAGAGAGACCAGTCCAGGACTCCACCAGCCCAGAGCTGAGAAGGGAAGGTCTGTGGGGGACAGGTGGAGGCTGGTGGACACCACCCACAGCCTGATGAGAAACCTCGCAGGACAGAGAAACCTCTTGCGTTGCTGGGACACCCAAAATCTCAATCCCCAGGGCACCCAGAGCCATTGTGACCACTCAATAATGTGTCTCCCTGGCAGAGGAGCATTGTCTGTCTGTCTAAACTGGGGCTGCCAGGACTTACAAAGGCACCACCCCCTCCTTCATCAGGCTGAAACAGGAGGAACAAGAACTGCTCTTGTGTAACAAACCCAGCTGCAGAGCTCACACCCAGCTGCCAAGTCACTGAATCCCAGAATCAACTGCATTGGAAAAGACCCCTGAGATCATCGAGTCCAACCTGTGACCCAACCCCACCTTGTCACCC